ATATATTTTTTTTTTTTTTTAATACATGAATCATATAAACACAAACTGAATGCATGCTGCCCAGTATGCCCAACTGAGCAAGAAATTAGTCTGGGATCAAAAGATGTCTAAGAAAATGGCATGAACTTTTCCACAGAGATAGCCATTTTTGAAAGTAGTTCACTGTGCTATGATCTAGGCTACTGCGATATCTCTATTTTCACACTACAGAGTATTGTTTACTAGTTAGTCATAAAAGGCATACTACAATATGGCCAACAGGTTTGTAAGTGCAATCTCTGACATCAACTTATTAAGCAGAATAATTTTAGGATATTTTTAGTGAAGGGTTCAATCTAATAATTTGAATTTCCTTTCTTATCACAGATGAAAAATATAAGAATTATCCATATTTATTAGATCAAGATATGGAAATTCACAGAATTTTAAAGCTAAAACAAAACAAAGCTAAACCTTGTCCAGCCCCTTTACCCCTTTTCTTCTTAGAATTTATGGTCAGAAGTTGATTTGTCAAAGTCACAGAGATGGTAGATACTTGGGACATCAGGACTAGAAGTCAATTTTCTTAAATTCTTTTTACTTTTGCTGAAACCAGTTTAAATTTAAAATGGTTCTATTGTACTGCACTCTAGATTCCTGGAAGGCTGTACACTCATGTCTTAGACAATCTGAATTCTTGGTTTGGGGATCATACTAATGTCACAATGATTACAAAACAACCTCAAACAAATTTAATACTGCAACTTATAGCAATTCATACTTGAAATTCCTGATTATAGCAATGTTAGGGAACAGACTCCTTTACTCAGGCAAGCTTTTTCTGACAAATAAAAAGTCTATTTTCCCAACCACAATGACAAGGTTACTTACTTCAGAGAAAATGGAAAGGAACACCACTTTAACACATCTCAACCATCTTCCCTATCTTTCCCCAAAAATGTGTTCTTCAAAAGCACACTTCTCTTCATGTATTTCCTTATTTTAATGAATGGTATACCCATTCATGAAAGCTGGATACCTCTGAGTTTTCCAAGTACCATCATATTCAAGTACCATCAATTTCACTCTCAAAATATTTCTTTATTCTATTTCCTCTCTCAATCCCTACAATTAATAGTTAACTTAGACTTTGATCAGCTCTTCTTAGATGCCCATGTTATCAATGGTCTAACTGGTTGGTATCCTTGTCTTCCGTCTTTTGCCAGACTCCTTAATACCTTTTTTCTTTTTCTGAGGAAAGCTCTATATATTTTTTCCAGCTGCTAAACAAACAAACAAAAAACTGCTTAAAAGCACTTATCTCCTAGGCAATGAAAAAGGCAAATAAATCCAAAATTTTTAGCCTGACTTACTAGGCCATTTACAACGTGGTCTACAGTCCCTCACCACCCCCCATCCTTCTTCCTAGCTTCTTTCCTTCCCTACTGATTACAGCACACCTCTACTCCAACCTCATAACTCTTTACTACTCCAAAGCATACATTTCTTTTAGTCCTGTGTGTCTGCACATGCTGCACCCTCTCCCTGCAGTGTTTCTTCCATGATTCCTTCTAGCTAACTCCTATTTATCTTTCAGGCCCTAATTCAGATGTCTCTTCTTTAGGAAGCTTTTATAGATTGCCTCAGTATTCTGTCTGCATCTTTGTCTTCTCACAGAACTTTATATAGTAGTAGTATTTATCATATTTAACTGTCTATTCGTACCCTAATTAGGCTGTGAAGAACTAACAGGAAGACTTAAATTCCTGAGCACAGAACAAGGTCCTGAACACATCTCTACCTTCAACCTTTATCTATCTCCCTTTGCTCACCACACTCTAGTCACAATGATCTTATTTCAAACTCTAGGACATACTAAGCTATTTCCTATCTCGGAATCGGCACACATTCTTTCCTCTGCATGGAATGGTTTTACCCTCCAATACTTGCAATGCTAGCTTCTTCCCTTGCATTTATGCCTCTGCATAAATGTCATCGCAAATTTTTCATAAGCACACTATCTGAATAAAGTAGGTCCCTCTCATCCTTTATTTCTATCTGGATCCCTTGTATGTTTCCTTGACAGCACCCAACAATCACTTTTCTTTTTTCAGGGGGGATATCGTCCCCTTTATAAAGTTCTATAAGCACAACTGTTGTACTCCAAAAACCTAGCAAAGTGCATGGGTACTCAATAAACATTTGTAGAATATATCATTATCAAAAATATATTTCTCTTTCAATCATACAACTGATATTTATTGAAGTAGTTACAGTAAAATAAAATAAAAAGGGAATAAGACTTATAGTCAGAAGACCTGAGTTCGACTTTTAGCTTTAGAACTTACTTCTCTAACACTGGAAAAATTACTACCCTTCTCTTAGCCCAAATCTCCTAAAATATGAAACATAGATTCTCTTATCATACATAAACTCACGGATATTGAAAGATAAAGGATTTAAAATATACATTCTCTGACTTAATATTATAAAGAATATTTAATTCAGCCCACGGTGAAGCATCAATACTCAATTCCCTACTCCATCAAGTCTTGTACTATATTAATCTCAGCATTACAGCAAACCTTACTTTAGTAACCAGGCAAGGTTAGTAAGACCTTCATAAGGTCATAAATGTTTAAAGGCCCTAATCTGTACAGAATAAAAGCTTGTTAAAGAAAGTACTTATAACCCTTCTTAAATGCCTTCTAGTATCTTGCTTCAAAACTGATTTGAGGGACTTCCCTGGTGGCACAGTGGTTAAGAATTCGCATGCCAATGCAGGAGATATGGGTTCAATCCCTGGTCTGGGAAGATCCCACATGCCACGGAACAACTAAGCCCGTGCACCACAATTACTGAGCCTGCGCTCTGGAGCCCGTGAGCCACAACTACTGAGCCCACGTGCCACAACTACTGAAGCCCATGCGCCTAGAGCCCATGCTCCGCAACAAGAGAAGCCACCACAATAAGAAGCCACTGCACTGCAACGAAGAGTAGTCCCCACTCGGCACAACTAGAGAAAGCCCGTGCGTAGCAACGAAGACCCAACGCAGCCAAAAATAAATAAATAAATAAATTTATTAAAAAAAAACTGATTTAAGAGATCATCTAGTAGAGTAACAGAACACTTTTAGCTTAAAATATACAAGAATTTAAATTTAAACCAAGTATTACATATTCTCAGAAGGAACAAGAATCAAACATTTCTCCAAACAACCCCCAGCACTATCTTTATCAGTTTTTTCTTGTTTCTCCCTGGCAGTCCTTACAAGACTGGGTATCACAGCTAGTGAGTGAGTGGCCAGGATACTCAGATGAGAAACTTTACCTCCTGAATCAGAAATACCTGAAACGTCACCCAAGCATCTATATTCTTTAAAACGTTGTGAGCTGTTTGGTTAAGGTAAGAGACATACAGCAAGGCACCTTAACTCTTGCAGTATGCAAGTACCTACTAATTCAGCACCTGCTCTGTTATCAAGTAGGTACTGGTAGCTAGCTATTTACATAATCTCTCCTAAACTAAGTAAAAATGGAAGATTATATGAATAAGTATAATAATTTAAAATGTGTCAACAAGCAAAAGTCTTAAAAGATATTTTATGTTAAAAAGTAAACTGATAATGGTTGAAAAAAAAAACAATTCTCCCAATCAATGTCAGTCACTATTTAATAATATTTCATTTAACAAACCTCTCTCTCTGTTGTCACGACGGTCTCTCTCTCCATGTCTTCTCTCAAAGGAAGAATCTCTTGCTTGATCTCTGTTGTCTCTTTCAGGATATCTGTCTCTTTCAGGATAGCTACTTCGAGTTTCCCAGGTGTCATGATAGTTGCTAGTACTACTGTGACTATCAATTTGAGAACCTCTTGTGCCTCGACTTCCTAAACAAAGGATATTCACACAAATATTTAACAAGTACACTTTATTCAATAAGTTGTCAGTCACAATCTTTCCTCCCCAAAACATATAAAGATATGTGGGGTTTTTCTGGTTTTGGTGGTTTTTTTGTATGTCAAAGTGTGGTATTCATTGTCAAAAAGGATATTAAATGTTGGATCAGAACACCCAAGGTGTCTAATGACTGACTTGGGTAAGCTAAGTACCAGTTTTCCCTACCTATAAAAAAGGACATATAATGGAATCATAAAGCAAAGAGACTCATTTCAATTAAGCCAAAAAAACAACGAAACAAAAAATAAAAACTATTAATTCATATCTAAATCACAGAAATATCATAAAAATAATTAAGGATATGGATATATTGCATTGACTACAGTTTATAGTGAAAACATTCCAATACAGAACCAAGGTACTTTGTTGACAGTAGGTGGTACCTGAAATTTTTCATTAAAAAATTGGGAAATGAATGTTCACAGTAGTAACATTTTAGAATGTTCACAGTAGTTATAGCCCCAAACTGGAAAGTACCCAAATGTCTTTCAATGGGTGAAGGCTAAACAAACTGTGGTACATCCGGATCATGGAATATTACAACAAGGAGCAAACTGTTGATACACACGACAACTTGGATGAACCTCAAGGAAACTGTGCTGAGTGAAAAAGCCAATCTCAACAGCATACAGACAGCAGGATTCCATTTATGTAACATTTGTGAAATAACAATTATAAAATGATGGACATATTAGTGGTTGCCAGCAGTCAAGGATAGGGGAGGGGATTTGAGTGTGGCTATAAAGAGGTAACACAGGGAGTCTTGTGATGATACAGCTGAGTATCTTGATTGTGGCGATGGTAATACAAGGATACACACACGCTGTGGAAAATAGTATGGAGGTTCCTCAAAAAATTACAGAACTACTATATGATCCAGCAATTCCACTTCTGGGTATAGAGCCAGAGGAACTGAAATCAGGATTTGAAAGAGATATCTTTACTCCCATGTTCACTGCAGCATTATTTACAATAGCCAAGACATGGAAGCAACCTAAATGCCCCATGACAGATGAATGGGAAAAAAATGTGGTTAAAGAAAAAGTGGCAGGGCTTCCCTGATGGCACAGTGGTTGAGAGTCCGCCTGCCAATGCAGGGGACATGGGTTCGAGCCCTGGTCTTGGAAGATCCCACATGCCGCAGAGCAACTGAGCCCATGCGCCATAACTACTGAACCTGCGCTCTAAAGCCCGCGAGCCATACTACTGAAGCCCGTGCGCCTAGAGCCCGTGCTCCGCAACAAGGGAAGCCACCACAACAAGAAGCCTGCGCACCGCAACAGAGTAGCCCCTGCTCGCTGCAACTAGAGAAAAGCCCACATGCAGCAACGAAGACACAATGCAGCCAAAAATAAAAATAAATTTATATATATATAAAAAGATAACTAATTATTTATACATAAATTGTTCCAAAGAAGAGAAAAAGAGAAGCAACACTTCCAACACATTTTATATAGCTACTATAACTCTGATTTCCAAACCAAACGAAGACAATATAAAAAACAAGAGCTGGGGCTTCCCTGGTGGCGCAGTGGTTGAGAGTCCGCCTGCCGATGCAGGGGACACGGGTTCGTGCCCCGGTCCGGGAAGATCCCACGTGCCATGGAGCGGCTGGGCCCGTGAGCCATGGCCGCTGAGCCTGCGCATCCGGAGCCTGCGCTCCGCAGCGGGAGAGGCCACAGCAGTGAGAGGCCCGCGTACCGCAAAACAAAACAAAACAAAACAAAAAAACAAGAGCTATGCAGTGGTATGGTGGAACCGGTTAACACTGGCTCCGAAGAGCCAACTGTGTGCACCTCTTCCCATGTCCACACTGAGTGACGTTAGTAGCTCAAAATCTGCTATGGCAGGAGTAATTTATACCATGGAAATTGGCATTAGCTACAAGCCAGGGCGTTTTGCCTGAAGAGTAAGTTGTTAAATATTTACCATCATACCACTGATTATATGCCAATCTCAATTAAAAACAAAGATAATTCAAAATTAAATTTTAACACACCTATTTTAGAACTTTTTAAAAAAATGAAAAGTGTATTTATCTTAGAAATGCAAGAATAGTTCTAAATTTTAAAAAATACATTAACGTAAGTAACAAGGTAAAAGAGATGGACTATATGATCTCAAGATACAGAAAAACAGTCATGATAGAAGCTGTCAGCTAAGTTTGGAAAATTAGGAGACATCCTTAACACAATAAAAAGCATCTGCTAAAAATTTACAAACACCATGCTCAATGGTGAAATGCCAGCAATAATACTTTACAATCTGAAACAAAGCAAAGGAGCCCATTATATCACTTGTAGTAAACAGTTCATTGAAACAGCTGCTCAGCAGGTTACTTGACAGTCAATAAATAATACTCAGAAAGCAAGAGCCAAATCTGTCTGTTCCCAGACATAAATGTTTAAGAGAATCTAATTAGATCTACTAAGAAAATACAGCAACATCACAATGTGAGATTAGTATAAAAATATTAATTACCATTTCTGTACACCAGCAATAAGCATCAAAAAAAAGTTTTAAAATATATTATTTGGTGTACCTGTACAGTTATTCACTTAAACAGTATTCAAAAACAAAAAAAAAGATTAGAACACCTAATACGTAGGATTTATAAACTTTATGGTATATCCTACAACATACACTATGCACCCTTTCAAAAGGAGGTGGCTATTTACCAAGTTGACTGATATAGAACCATCTCCAAGATTTTTTTTTTTTAATATATCTGTTTATTTATTTTTGGCTGTGTTGGGTCTCTGTTGCTGCACACAGGCTTTCTCTAGTTGTGGCGAGTGGGGGCTACACTTCGTTGTGGTGCGTGGGCTTCTCATTGCAGTGGCTTCTCTTGTTGCAGAGCACGGGCTCTAGGTGTGCGGGCTTCAGTAGTTGTGGCACACGGGCTCAGCAGCTGTGGCTCACGGGTTCCAGACGCAGGCTCAGTAGTTGTGGCGCACAGGCTTAGTTGCTCCATGGCATGTGGGATCTTCCTGGACCAGGGCTCACACCTGTGTCCTCTGCTTTGGCAGGCTGATTCTTAACCACTGCGCCACCAGGGAAGTCTCCAAGATATTTTTTAAGTGAAAACAGCAGGGTATAGAGTATATAGTTGTGTGTTGTTTTTAAGCAAAAAAATTTTTTTAAATTATATTTGGAAAACTAGAGGAGAAAATGAATAGACATATACATCTGCTTGTGTAGAATATTCCTCAGATGGATACATACAAAATTGGCGAAAGAAGAAACCAGGTCAGGGATAGAAGGGAGGCTTTCACTATACATCCTTTTGCAGCTTTGAAATTCTGAACCATGTGAATGCATTATTAAAAAGAGAGAATTTTTTTAAGTACCATTTACAATGGCAACAAAAATAGAGGGTACACAGGAACAAAACATGTACAAGACCTTAACAGAAAAAGTTACAAATCAATAAATTTAATGCACGTGAAATAAAAATCCAACAGTTTTTCATGAAATTAAAAAAAAAAAAACAACTCATTTTTTAAATGTACATGAAAAAGCAAAGGGCCAAGAAAAGCCAAGACAACTATGAAGGAGAAGGTGAGGGGCCTTCATCTTAACGTGAAACTGTAATACTAACCAGGATAAACCAACAGGCCTATGGAAAGAGTAAGAGTGGTCAGAATTCTACAGCAGTGTTTTGGGGAAGGGGAGCGAAGTGGGTGGAGGAAGAGAGAGGTCAAAGCTAACTCAGTTAAGGCAGTTCGGAGACAGTCAAAAACATATAGGTAGGTAGTTATTGATGACAATGATGATGGCAAATGCTTTTTAGAGGAAGATGAGAAAAATGGCTCAAGATGCAGATATGTGATGTTCTGAGGTGGCTTTGAAGCAAGCACAAGTACTGATGAATACACAAGTCAGTCATTTCTGACACCACCAATTTTGAAAGCCCACCATTTAATCTCATTTTAATGATCATTTTATCTATATACCTGTTTATTAGAAATTATTTCTTTTTGATGCTACTTTTTTGCCTGATAACAATTTTCTTAGTGTTCCACATTAAACAAGATGGTAGGCATGACTGGACATAATTCAAACAGGAAGTCTAAGTCAGGCCCCATCTATCTTCTGCTACTGTAGCTAATAATTCCTATTTGGAACTTATAGGGAAAATCACAAATTCAATTAATTGAAAATTACTTTGACAAAGTGATAATGAACATCAGAAATAATATCTTTAGAAAACAAATCTTAGGAGGTTAATAATTTCTCTATACAACATACAACATACAGTTCACTGACAAGTCAAAAACCTTACCCTTTTCAGGTAACTCTGGACCTCTTCCCCTACTTCTGCCCATCCGATCATTCCTAATTTCACTTCGAGACTCATTTCTGGACTCATTTCTTATTTCAGTGCGAGAACTTTCTTCTCTCAAATGGTTTCTGCCATAACTTCGGGATTCTTCCTGATATGCATCCTCCTTTCGATGAGCATCTCGACTTTCACGGTCCCTGTAGTCGTGGGCATCACGAGTAGACCGAGAATCTCTGGGATCGCGGCTCTCTTTGTTATCTCTGCTGTAATCTCGCATCTCCCTGGAATCCCGAATGTCTCTGGAGTCTCTTAGTTCCCTTCGGTCTCTAGTATCTCTGGCATCTCTCCGATCCCGACCATCTCGAGGTTCTCTGTCATCTCTGTGGTCTCTAGAAGAGCTCTGATCCTGTTCATACTCTCGTTCTTCTCTTGTGTCCTTTTCTCTATCCCTTTTTCCTCTAGTCTCTGTAACACAATTTTGGAAATACACTGTAATTCCTTTCACAAAATGTTAGGAAACCAGATGATGTATTTAATACAGAGCTTTAAAATTTTTAATACAATGGTATAATTTATACTCTTAACAAAAAATAAAAGGAGAAAACATGGGCAAATGAGAAAAATAAAACTATCTGTAAGCTAAAATTCCAAAGGTAATTTTATTAACATCTGGATTATTTGTCTTGATTGGATAAACTTTGAACACGATCTTCTCACATCAACGTACCCATACTTACAACTCTTAAACAACTGAAACAAGTTAAGTTGATCTATCAATGATGGCCTACTTTTCAGAAATCACTTTTAGATCCAGAGGCACAAGTGACTTTAATCATCTCTACCAAGTATTAGGCCAGACTAGAGCACACGACTACCTCCAATGTACTTAAGCACTTGAGACTAGCCTACTATTAGTATGCTGGCTGGTAAACACATACTGTTATTCTCATTCTCTCCCTCTCCCTCCCTCTCCCTCTCTCTCCCTCTCTCTCCCTCTCTCTCTCTCTCTCTCTCTCTCTCTCATTTATTTATTTATTTGAGCTATTTAATGAAATCACACTCCTGTCTCTAAAGATTTTTCTACTTAAGGCATTTTCTAACATTCACATAGAAAAATTAAAAATAATTTGTTTTAAAAAAGCTGGAATGAACCTCAATAGTTACTTAATCCAACCCTGTCATTGTATAAACGAAGGAACAGAGGCCCAGAGCTTAAATGGTTTAGTCAGCCCCGTACATCATAGGAATTTGCAAAGATCAGAAACTGTTCTTTAGAGATGCCTAGAAAAGTATAAATTGATTACAGCATAAATCTGATATGAACTGAAAGAATTAACAAGAGACCCTCAAAGAACAAACCCTGTACTGTTTATCAGATTCCTTCATAAATTGTTCTTACACTCTGCAACAACTACCTACCACTTTAGCAACTGTAGCAGCTCTTGGTCGAGGACATTAGAAATTTACCTATGGCTAGGTCCACAGACTTTCTCCGCCCAGTATCCACAAGACCCCCTAGATTCTCATCAATAACTTATCTCCCCTGCAAAATAACTTTGCCCATATGCCTACATACATAAATGCCATATAAGGATAGAAGCACTAGGCATGAATCTGACAACATCCCCATCTCTTTTTGTGCACATCCATCCCTTCCAGTCCTCCTCCAATACCAAATGTGCCTAGAAATTTGTTCACTTAGTATTAGATTCTCTTTTTATGATACCCCCAGCTGTCTTTACAAATACATCTAGTTACTATATTTTGTTCTTTATCTACCTCCCCATCCTTTCACTAAAATTAGTCTTATTTCAAAAAATGACCTCTAAATAGAGAGGAATAAATGCCTACTACATCTCTTGTATGGAAGGTTAAAGAAACATCCTCCTCACAAAGAACCTAAAAATGTATGGTTTATTATTAAAAGGACTCCTCCTATAACATAAACCCCTCTTACTACAAAAAAGCATTCCTATGAGACTCAACTGCACACTAAATTTCCCCTTCATTAGTGTGTTTAATAAATTATGTTTTGAAATAATAGTTTTCATTCAGTAAGTAGTCATGAAATATATACTATATTCCCAGTCAACTCTAGTTGTTCATAGATAGGTATAAGAGAATTTTCCCATCTTACCAATGTTCCATAAATACTGCTGTGCTGATCTCGTTCCAAAATCATGTACACAAGGAATAATTCTTTAAAATAGGTGCCCTCTCCAGTCCCTACCTATGCATCCATCATTTCTTGAATAAAATAACTTGCACTGTTGATTGGAAGAGAAAAAACTAACTTCGACATGTTTCATAGGCGATTGCTATACGATACTCAAATTGTGACTTTTTGTCAGTCTTGTGTGGGATGCAGAAGCATGCTGTACGATGCTTTAAAAATGCACATTAAACAGAAATGTTGTTGCAAGGCAGCAGGTATTGTATTTCCTGAGTACTCATTATGTTAAAAAACTAACTCAGGAGATGTCAGGAAAAAGACTTGTTAAGTTAAATAAATAAGGACAAGAAGCTTAGATAAGAAATACAGAAAGAAATGAGAGCTATTAGATTGTATTGCCAAGTTTTGATGATAATAACATCTCAGTGAGAACAGGGAATAGCAAATTCAAAGTTAACATAATTCTCAGGGATCTAGAAAGGAAAACTGCTTTGCTTGACTTCTTTGTTGAGTTAGACCTGGAATACTGATCACTTGGTTCACACTGACTTTCTGAACACTCCCCCAGCCCTCACCTCTTAGTCAAAATATTTCTGATATGTTCAAACTCTGCTCCCTGGTTTGCTGCTTTTCTTTCCTTCACCTCTGTTGTTTTTAAAGAATTAGCTAAGCAATTAGACTGACACTCTAAGAATCATACCATCCCAAATTTCTAGAACTTGAAAGTACTCAAGTAAAACATCATAACTAAAGAAAGGACCAACTTAGCATACATATAAATGCCCACTTACATCTATTTAGTAGCTTACATTTCTGTGTCCTTAAGCACCTCCTACTGCCCTCAAGAGCTATTACCCATGTGTTACAGAGACGTAATATAACACAGTTCTCTTTTGTCTCTTATTTTAACAATAAATCTGAAAGTCCATTATTTTTAATAAAGAAAATATCCACTTAAAGAACTCTAAAAAAAAAAAGCCACAACAGAGTATTTACCTTCCCTCCTTTCATGACGCCGATCATGAGACTGTGAAGTGCGTTCATGATCATGCCTCCCTTTTTCTCTCATTGGAGACCGATGTCTTGGGGGACTCTGCTTTCTCTGAGGAGACGACAGAGAGTGTGAAGGATAGGGAGAAGCAGAGCGGCGTAAAGGTGGAGTTACTGTCCTCTGATAAGATGGTGAAGGAGTTCTTTTTCGGCGAGGAGAAGGAGAATGTCTTTGAATAGATGATCCTGATTGTGAGGAAGATGAGTGATGTCTAGAAGATAGAGGAGAATGATGCTGTCCTGCTGGGGAAGTGGACCTATAAAGAAAGCAACAACAATTAAAAAAATGTGTTCAAGAGCTTTCATTTCTAGCCAAAGGAAAATCTTCCTTAAAAACAAAGAAACAAACAAACAAAAAAACCTGAATATAAAAGTTAAAGCTAAAAGTGTGAGTAATAATTCCAAAATAAATTTTAATTCACAATCATGTAAAATCATTAACAAGTTGATTTTTAAAGATCTGACTGATTTTGAAGTCAGCTTGAGACAACAGTTCTAGATGAGACATGCATTGCCCTTCTCCTGAGCTTTGGCTCCAAGGCACGCTCCCTTTTCCAGGTAACATCCTCCCTGAGCACAGATGGTTCTTACTCTCATGTAAAGTCTGGAACTCACTCTTACCAGATATAATCTCTGACAGTGTAAATAGGTATTGGAGGAGGGAACCCACAAAGAGCTAAAGAGAAAACATACTAGTAAGATCTAGGAAAGTGGGTGTAAGAACGCCTATAATTCAGGGCTGTGGGAGACGGGAAAAGCTATCACCAGCTACGCCAAACAAAAGTTTGCACTGCCTGGGCTGACATTTAGGATAGGGAAAGAAAGCTAGAGTTAAGGAAAGGACATACTGTCTATACTGTCTTTATCTTAAATAACCTGCCTTCACTCTTGGGCAGCACAAACTGAAATTTAGTTCATAAGCTTTGGTTTAACTGAGGCTTCCTCTGCTCCCTTCAAATCATCTTCTTTGCTGCCAGAGAAATAACTTATAAACTCATGAAGCACATCTGAATCACTCCTATAATCTGTTATGTCTTAGGCTGTGTCTACAATGAATATGCAAAAGGTGTGTGTGACGGAGAGCTAGAATACACACATTTGGGCAATAACTAAAAAGAAACAGGACTAATGTTTAAAAAACAACACTTCAGACATCACATGCTCAGATAAGTATCATATTTCTCAAAGTAATCATTTTGAGGACAGATGTTTGTTCAAAAAATTTATGAGTTCCTGTCAAAATATTTTAGAATTACCTTCACTGCCTATGATAAATATTTTTTTAACTTCCGCAATGTTGGCAAAATCATTATTAATCCTAAACCAGGATTCCTCAATCTTGACACTATTGACATTTTGTATTCAGTAATTCTTTGTGGTGGCGGGCTGTCTTGTACATTGTAGGATGTCGAGCAGCATCCTTGGCCCCTATCCACTAGAAGCCAGTACCATCTCCCTCCCATCCCCATTCATGCCGATAAAAAACTACTCCAGGTATCTCCAAATGTCCCCAGGGAGGTAAAATCAACCCTGGTTGAGAACTGCTGCTCTAAACTATGCTGTTTATAAATGATGCCTTAGTAGAACTTTTATCAATAAAAGGTTTAAATCTATAAAATACATGTTACTGAGTCAGGAAAGTGGTCAGATATATAGGAAAGAATTTTGCAAAACAAGGAATTAAGCAAATAAAATCACCTTTTGGATAATAGTTGACTTAAAAAATAAAAGTCAGCTAACTAGAACACCACATTATCCTAAACATTATAGTTATTTATGATTCTGCAGTACTTTCATGCTTTTAATAAAAATTGTTATTCCTTTCTCACATAAAAAAAATAAGACATAAACCACCATAGCTTGAGTGGAAACTGAAATTTATTTACTAACAGATATGAGTACAAATGCTCAACGGGTCTTGCCCAAATTTGGAAAACCATTTATGACCAATGGCTATTCAAATACTGAACAGAAAAATCACTGCAAGACTGAGAAATTCTAATTTGACTATTGTTTGGTGCTTTCCAATTTCAATTTCATTAGGTTCTAGTCAGTTTGGAAATACCTAAACTGAAAAAATAAAGAATGTGGCTCTCCAATGAAGTGACATTTTGGTTAGTTTTGAGTTTATTTCTGGAGTATACTCAAAATTATTTCAGGAAT